CCTCCCACGTACACATACAGTGGCTCACAACAGTAAATGGAGTGCCTTAAACTATTGGCTATTAGGTGACAATCTAGTAAAGACTTCTTTTCCCCTAATTCACAGCTTTCTTCTTTGATAGGGTTGTAGCATATGGGTTAATCACTGAAAGGAAGTGGAATGTATGCATAGCATAATGACTGAATTTTCTTTATGGCAGGATAAGATTGGGAATCCCCCAGGGATCCTCAAAAGTGAAACTGTTGATCCATTGCCTGATCTTTTGAAGGTCATGATTAGAAGGCTTGTAAAGTGGCATGTGATGCCTCCGACTTGTGTTCCAGATAGCTGTATTATCAACATTTATGAAGAGGGAGATTGCATACCACTGCATATTGACAATCATGATTTTGTGCGCCCCTTTTGTACCGTTTCATTCCTTAGCGAGTGCAACATTGTGTTCGGTTCCAACTTGAAAATAGTGGGTCCCGGTGAGTTTGCTGGTGCAATTGCAATACCGTTGCCAGTGGGGTAAGTGAGAGTGTGCTGTTCTTCTCATACTACTGAAATTAGGAAGATTGATCATAACTGACATTATATTACTCCAGATCTGTACTGGTCTTGAATGGAAATGGAGCTGATGTAGCTAAACACTGTGTGCCAGCTGTGCCTACTAAAAGGTACACACTGAATGTTCAGAGCTCTGGAGTCATAGTTAAATCTTCTGTGTCCTTGCACATTATGCTAACATCTTGTTAACCGGTACTTCATATAGGATTTCAATCACGTTTAGAAGAATGGACGAATCTAAAAGGCCAGTTGGATATGTTCCTGAGCAAGATTTACAAGGGCTGCAGCCCTTGTCATATGAAACAGACAGACAGAAGAAATCGAACTCCTCAAAACCAAGGTATTCTGCAAGAAAACAGTCAGCACTACTGGAAGAGAGCATGGAAAGAGTAAAGATGCCAATGAGAAGGCATTCAGAGCCCCGTTACGCAGGTCGATATCGACAAGGACCTGCAAACAGACAGAGGTTTAGCGTGAATACAGAAAATTGAAGGTACATTCGGACTTGATTGTTTTGATCCATCGTCATCTGCTAAAATTAATGGCTCTGTTGGTGGAGGTCTATTCTTATCTTCACCTCGAGCTGTTGAAGTATTAAAATTCTGAAGAGCTTGCTGCTTGATACTCCTTTGGATGAATATCTTCTAAAATAGAAGTTTAATCCTGCTCTCTGCATTGAAATCTTGTACTACAATAATTTCTGGAAACCAGGTATGAATGTGAAGGAACAATCAAGCTGAGAGTGGGAAAGAGTGGTGGTCATGTGATCTAGAGATGGATGGATAATATATCTGATCTGATAATATATCCGATGTATGTGTGGTGTTCCAGTTTGCGGTGGTAATAGCGTGTATGTATATCACGAGGCAGCTATGCAAATAACTACTTGGCAGCTTGGATAAACACTGCTGAAGATTGGACTGTCTACTTGAATAATGCACCTTGTGAAGAATTAAGTCCATCCATGTACACTTGATATTGGTGAAGCTTACATGGTATTCAATTCATATGTCGTAGGTTACAGTTATTTGCGCACAAGCTTTTGTGCTTGCTTACTACTGTAATGTTTTCTCCTAGTGCTTGTATCGTTAATCGGTTGAGCTTAAACATTGAGAGCTAAGTTATTTTGTCTGACAGTCTTTGCTTTTCTACTTGTCATTTTTTATGGAATATTTACGGTACGAAGGCTAATAAATAGGAACATGAACGGAGGATCCGAACTCTTAACTTGCTCTACGACTATACCTTTTCATCATTTGGTCTCATACCAATTATACTATCTTCATTGGTTCAAAATTGAAAATATTAATTTTATCTTTGTAATATAGATGCTAGTAAAAGAAATAATTAAAGTACTCGAAATTAAATAGTATTCAGTATTTTAAGATGTTATTTAAGTACAACAGTGTCATAAATTGGACTAGAAAGAGTGTATGATGATGAGTCCTTTTACAGGTTGACTAGTAATTACATGGTTTACATATTTTAGGAGCAAGCTCGCATTCAATGAATGCGACAAACCTATTGAAATGCTGCTCCAGCACTACCTAATTTGGTCTTAAATACCAAAATCCAACAAAGAGGCAAAAGGAAACATAATGCTATACTACAGATGTAATGAGCATAGGAAGGATCAAGCTCTGAACCATCAAGTAACGAACCAGTGCTTGAAAATAACAAATGGAATGAGGCAAATTGCATACTTTCCAGCTTCTTTTTGAGATAGAAGGATCTTTGCACTGATATTAGCATTTAGTTGTGTGATGCCTCGAAAACATGTCTCTCTTAATTAAGCTTGCATGAAGCTACGATGTTTCAACGTGTTCGATGTAGAAATGATAAGCAAATGAATTTAGAAGATAATTCCCCTGCTCTCAAATATTAATAGTCTTGGCAAAATTAATTTGCTTCAAAATATTTGACATTTTAGAAAAATAAGAAGCATTTATCACTACTTTCTTTTCAAATTCACGCTTAATTTGTGCTCCAATTAGTCATCTAGAGGTATAGAGTAATTTGCACAAATACTACTCGTATGTATAAGTAATTAAAAGGCTATGTTTTTTTTATTTAAAATATTGTGCAAAATTCTTCAAAATTAATTAGCTCTTAAATATGAACCAATTGTGAATTGATCAGGATTTAGTAGCATTGCTTTATAAATACTACTACTAGTAGTGGTAGTAGTAATAATAAAAGACTGAAAAACTATATACAAGAGAGAAGGAAAGAGGGCAGCTTACAGGAAAAGAGTAGGCACTTAAAAGAAAAGAGTAGGCAGTGAGCCAGTGACATTGCAAATGGAGTTAGAAAGGGAAGAACTAAGAGAGGGAGCTCCCCAACATTATCAAAGTAGAAGGCCCATTATTTATAGAGAAATCTTGTAAAAATAGCACGGTCTAGCTAGTTTTTGGACTGATCAATCAAAAATAGTCAGCGTTTATCAAGTCAATGAAAAATAGCCACTATCTTGCTGTAACAGAGACCGGTCCAGCATAATATACTGGAGTTCGGTACACCTTTGTAAACTTCCAGCATATTATGTTGGACCGGTATATTTTGCTGGCTCCAGTATAATATACAGGAGACTGGAGCACCGGTGCTCCAAACTCCAGCATATTATGTTGGACCGGTATATTATACTGGAGCTCCAGTATATTATGCTGGAGTATTTTTCTGGATTTTGAACAGTGTTTTCGTTCAAATTTATCTTTACATAAAAAGTGGCTAAATTTCGATTACTTTTGAAACTGTGGCTATTTTTGAACAACCACTTATAAATCTGGTTCTTTTTTAATTTCTCCCAGAAATCTTGGCCCAGATTATTTTGAACGTTGGGCCTAGGAATGCTGAAAAGAGTTTAAAATGTTGTCTTAGTTTTGCACGTAAATTTTAAGAACGAAAGCAGAACATAGTTACGCAACATGAAGGATGAAGTGACGACGTCCTTTAGAACAATTGGTGAAAATATTGGTGATTTTTTCCTCATATCTTTAATTAGGCAATCAGAACACTTAATCCTCATTCCAAGTTAAGCAAAAATAATATTGGTTTCATTTTATATGGTGATATGTTATTAGATACGGAATTTAATAAAAAAAAGAAAAAAGTTGTCAAAGAAAAAAAATACACTTTGAACTTGTGATCTTAAATATGTCATGACATTCATATGATCAAAAGAGCATGTTACTAAGGGTAAAATAAAAAGTTTAATGTTAAAACAATTTAAATATAAAAAATATGTAATTTTTTTAAAAATAAACTCTAAAGAAAAGAGTGGAAGATAAAATTGAGAAATGTATCTTTTTGACATCCATTTATTTGAATAATTGAAATTCAACAAATATTTCTTACTTGAAAGAATTTGAGCATCCAGTTTTAAAACATTTATAACTCAAACTTTACATGTTCTTATACGCTTAATTGTGGACGTCTTTTTTTTTTTTTTGGTTAGAAGGGATATTTATATATAAAGCAAGAAAACTAGGAAATACAATGCATAGTACTGTCTGTGCCGCGGGGTACTGTAATTCCCCCAATACTGCGATGTTTTGTTCTACTGTATCAATATTACATGCCAAAAATTTTCTAACAACTTCAGTCCCTAAAATGTCTGCCCAAAATACTCATTTGCAAACATCGGAGGAACTGCTAGTAAGCTGGTTCGTCCCAAAAACTTGACTTTGCTGCCTCTTTTGTCAGTGTGTCGGTCACCCTATTCTGCTCCATGTACGTGTGCCTCACCGTGGCCTTGTCCATCCTTTGCATTAACAACCTTCATTCACAAATTATGGGATCATAGGTTAAGTTACCCGTAAGAAGCATTTGAATTATTTCAGCCGAGTCTGTATTGATGTCTAGAGGGATTCATCCATTTTGCTCAGCTAGTTGTATCCCTTTCACAAGAGATTTCAGCTCAACTATGGTATTGGTGGTATGTGGTATATTCTCCATATACCCCATAATCCAATCCCCGTTATGGTTCCTAAATACTCCACCGATTCCTCCAATACCTGGATTACCCTTAGCGGCACCATCCATATTCATTTTATAGTGTCCTCTCTTGGAGGGATCCCATTTCACATTGGTTTGGAAAGACTTCTTGATGGTTTCATTTTTCACCAACATAAAGTATTTTGTTGCTTTTGAGATGGTGTTGGTGATGCTGATGCTATCTTTTTTTGTTGTTGAAGAGGTTGTGATTCCTAATTAGCCAAATGTGCCAGAAACAGAAGGGAATGGTGTTCTCCTAAGGAATGTTTCCGTTAAAGAGTATGTTCTTAAGTTTGTTCCATGTTGATGGCCATGGTTGGGCTGAGAAAACGGGATTCAGCTGCTTCCTTTCAGTCAAAGCCTTAGATAGTAACTCCTGCTAGAACTGAGTGTCATTTATGCACTCAAAGAAGATGTGGTCACTAGTTTCTTGGTTGCTTTGACAGGAGCAGCATTGTGGGTTACATTTAACCCCAATTCTGCGCAAGTAGGCTCCGGTATGCAACCTATTTTGGGCAAGAAGCCAGATGAAGTTCTTAACTTTGTTAAGAGCTTTTAATTTCCAAATTCAAGTGAAGGTCCCTTCCTCCCTATTTCCAAAAAGCTCTTTGTTTTTGCTAAATAATGTGTAGGCTAAATTGTTGGTGAAGGACCCACTTGGAGTCAACCCCCATGTTAGCATGTCCTCCTTGATAGTGTTGGAAGGGGTGAAAACAGAATTGATCATATTGGAGATACTTTCAGGCATGTTCATAGAGATAGAAGAGAGGTCCCAGATCCCCGATCGTAGACAGAGTCTACTTTGATAGCTATGTCATTTGGGTTTAGGGGGCATGCAATCATATCTCTAATGGCTGGCTAGTTAGGGATCCAATCATCATTCATGAAGCTTACCCTGTTGCCCTTATGGACCACCCATCTACTAGCCTTCCTGCATATATCCCATCCCTTGAGGATGCATTACCAGATAGGAGATTTAGGTTTCCTAGGGGTATGGTTCCAATTACAGTGCTTAGAGATCAACACTCTAGCCCATAAGCTGGAAGTGTTATGATAGATCCTCCAAGACAGACTTGCATGAGCAGCTTTATTTTTAAGCTCTACTTTTTGTAGGCCCAGCCACCAGTGGTATTCTTCTTAGTGACCTTATCCCAGCTAACTAGATGCATTTTTTCTTATTTGGGGTAGTGCCCTAGATAAAAAAATTCTGGATTCTATCAATTTACTTTGTGATTTTTGTGGGCAATTTGATGTATTGCATGGCATGGCTAGGGATACTACTGAGGGATGTCTTGGCCAGAATGGTCCTTTAAGTCATGTTGAGACAATTTATTTTCTAGCCAGCCAGCTTGAATTGCATATTATCTATTATTATGAACTGGAAATCAGAACTAGTGAGTCTCTTATAGAACATAGGGAATCCAAGGTATTTACCAAAGGAAGTAGTAGCTTGGATTGACAGCGCATTTGTGAGACATTTTATGGTGTCCTGACTAGTATTAGAGGAGAAGAGAACTCTGGACTTAATGAGGTTAACGTTTTGGCCAGAGTTCTCATTGAAAGTCTGCAAGATAGAATATATGGTAGTGCAGTTCCTATTGTTGGCCTTGGCAAACAGGGTAAGGTCATCATCAAAGAAAAGGTGGAAAATTCCCAGGCTAGACCTACTAATACTGATAGGCTGCCACTGGTTGTCTAGTACAGCTTGGTTAATTAACCTAGAGAGTCTTTCCATACACAAAATGAATAGGTAAGGGGATATGGGGTCCCCTTGTCTGATGCCTCTAGAGGGCTTAAAAGGTTCAGCTTTACCTCTATTCACTAAGATTGTGATGCTAGATGAGCTAATGCAAGACATAATTAGCTTAGTNTTCTAGATCTATGTTGAGGATCATGTGAGCCTGCCTCCCCTACATTTTCCTAACATGGGTAATATACTCTTGCACAATGATAGCATTATCAGAAGCCCTCCTATTTGAAAGAAAACTGGCCTGGATTGGGCCAATTATGTCAGGAAATATTGGTTTGATTCTATTAACAATAATCTTAGTGATGGACTTGTAGATGGTGTTACAAAGTTCAATTGGTCTGATATTTTTGAGCATGGAAGCTTAGGGGCACTTGGGAATGAGACAGAGCAAAGTTTGATTCATACTCT